GTTGGCCTGGCAACTTGCCTGCAGGGGTTTGTCAGAGAGGAGGAGGAGGACTGCTAGGATTCCAACCAGAGATTTCACCCTTCAAGGAAAGGGCAGAACCTGGGAGACTTTTCAGTCAAACGATAAATAGCGTCATTTGGAGCTGTCCTTACTCTGTGGGTACCTAGTTAAGATTAGGTCAGTGACTGCAATGAATTTCCTCTTCAGTAATTGTGTTACAGTGGTACCTCTGGTTAAGAACTTAATTCGTTCCGGAGGTCCATTCTTAACCTGAAACTGTTCTTAACCTGAAGCACCACTTTAGCTAATGGGGCCTCCTGCTGCCGCCGCGCCGCTGCTGCATGATTTCTGTTCTCATCCTGAAGCAAAGTTCTTAACCCGAGGTAATATTTCTGGGATAGTGGAGTCTGTAACCTGAAGCGTCTGTGACCTGAAGCATCTTTAACCCGAGGTACCACTGTACTTAGCTATTGAGGAAACTGCTTTTCCAAGACCTTTAGCTATCAAAACCATTTCAAATGAATTTCTTACTGTCCCACTTTATGGATCTTTTTGGGATCCTTGTTTAAATACTCATACGATCTTATTTCCATCTTCTTAAGCTCCAGTTTTCTTTCAGCAACTAGATAGCAGACAATGATGGCCATAGCTTTGCAGTACTTCTTAGTTGTCTTTACATTTCAAAGATGTAAAATCAACAACACATGTACTAATTTATGAGGCTTGCATAAGAAGTGAATTATCCGAACGTAGGATTCTATTTTTCTTTGGGGGGGAGGGAGTATACAGTTTCTCAGTCGGACCATGAATGCGTTTCTTTTCATATTGATTGATAGACTGCATTTCTATGCTGCCCAATAACAAAAAATTATGTGATTTGTGTTAACAGTTTCTAAATCTCCGTAACAATATGCAAACTTTATGAAGCTCTCGGTGCTGAGCAACTGACTCACCTCTGCTCTGGTGAGGCTGAGGGAGGCATCCCATCTCAGACAGAGGGGAGGTGAGCCCTTGCAGGGATATTGAGCCAGTTCCCAAACAGACTTTGCAACAATCCAGAGTACAGGCTAATCAACATTTGGATTTCGCATCTGAAAACACAGTACAGCAATATACATTTCTGCCTGTCCAGCTATCTAAACAAAAGCTACTTCCGCAGCCTCTCCATCTCCACTCACATCCACCCATTTTCCAAGCCCTTTATGAATTCCATGTTTTCTGACCTCAATCTAGACTTCTGCCTCCCCCCCTTCCTCAAGCACATTCCATCCCCCCTCCCCATCCCCCTGCTTTGTATGGTTTTAATCCTCAGCAGAGGAAATGAGAAAACCATTCCAAAGTTTCTGGTGGCAGAACAAGGCTGTTACATTAAAACTTATTTTTCCACAGAATGCATGAAACCCAATCCTCTGGGCTACATTTAGGGGTCAGATGCATTCATTCCACACACCTTGAAGATGTGTGCAAGTGCTTCTGTGCGGGATGTTCCCATAGCCCTCAGCCAGCACCTTCCTTGCATCCAAGCTGTTTTCATGAGATAATGTTTCCGTCTTTATATAGTGTATACAAGCCCCAACCTTCTTGGTGCACAAGCTCTGTCATTCCGAGAAGAATGGCATGTGAGCTGGGTAAGATTACAGAGCCTATGGCAATTCCCTGGATAGCAGCAACTAGAATAACAGAGGCAGCAATCGGTGATCACTTCCCACATTGCATTCTTCCTTCTTGGCATTTACTGAAGGATGGCCAGGACTCTTCATGTAAGCAGAAAGAAAACCCTATGGGGTAAACCAGCCTACACATAATATTTCTTAATGAAGGTGGGGTGTAGGATGGGAAGGACCCTGCTTTTAGATTAAAAGGACAGCCCCTGGCCTGTGCTAAGTCTTCTTCCGCCATTGCATTCTGTCTGTAGAGATAGATCCTTGAAGGATCTGCACAAGTTCAGGTCATTCAGGTGTCCTGAAACTGGGTCTATGAATAGATCATAGGGGCACACAGGAAATGTGCAAGAGCACAAGAACAAACCTTGGGTTGTGTCCAACAAAATTGTCCCGTTAGTGCAAAAACTTCCACTTGTACAATGAGACCTCATCTCTGTCTCCTTTTTCTCTGTGTCCCCCACATCTGTTTTGGGGATTTCCCCAACCTTCTGGAGCAGATGGAAGTGGGCACCCAGGCAGAGGAGACAGAAAAAGTCCCATTGAATGAATGAATTTATTAATACGGTCACAGACCAGCGCCAACACACACAACATCACAGATCATAAAAAATATATATAAAAAATACAAAGGACAATATAAGTATAACAAGCATTTAAATATAAAAAATTAAAATTAATTATTAACATGCCCCCTGCTATTAACATTTGGGGGTTTGGTCACCATGGGATACCACTTGCTTCCTGCGACTAATTGCAGCCGCACAGAATTTGGCTACATTTAATGTAGTCTTGGGATTCTTGTCCTCTAGCAGCGGTTCCAAACCATGGTGTTCCAACTCCTTCCTGGACTTCCGCAAAACAGGAGCAATAAAAGTCGAACGTATGTCCTCATAAAAACGACAGCGCAACAGTACATGTGCAGCAGTCTCAACCTCCAACGAGCCACAGGGGCAGACCCGCGCTGCGTATGGTTTACCCTCAAATCTGCCCTGAAGTAAGGCAGAAGGGAGAACGTTGAATCTGGCGAGGGTAAAAGACCGTCTGTATTTAGGTACCTGGAGACCTGACAGATAGTTAGCTGGAGAAAAACCTCTCCCATAGTCCCTTATTGCAGGATGTTTGATCATTTCACTCATGTGGCATTGTAATTCTACATCCCAGATACGCTGGCGAATTGTGGTCCTAGCTTTCTCGAAGCCTGTGGCTATCAGGGTCTGCTGTGGGATCCCCAAGCCTTTAAGCTTTTCCAGCAGTGTAGCCTTCCATCTGGATTGGTAGGTATCCAATAAGGTCAAAGGTGCCAGCCCAACCGGGAAGAAAATAAGCTTTAGCCAGTAATGGATCTTCAATATCCATATCCGGGTACTGATCGGAATTTGCCCAACCTCCAAACGGACTGCTATGTTGGATACGCAAGAGGGGATCCCCAGCAGGCAGCGGAAAAACTTAGTTTGAAATGCCTCTAGGAGAGTAAGGTTTTTAAAACTGCAGATCTGGGATCCATATAACAATTGTGGTAGTATTTTGGCAGCAAAGACCTGGGAGGCTGCCGGTATGTACTGGCCTCCTTTCCCATAGAAGAATCTTATTAACGCTTTGGTAGATCTTTCTGCATTTGCAATAGTATTATTAATCTGAAAGCGCCAGGAGCCCCTTTCCTGGAAGGTTACACCCAGGTATTTAAAGGTTGCTACCTGTTCTATTAAGCGGTTGTCTATTCTCCATTTGTGCCTCCTCCTTTTTTTGGAGAACACCATAACTTTGGATTTGTTGTAGTTAATTGTTAATTGTTCGATGCTGCAGTATTTGGTGAAAGATCTCAAAAGTTTTCTTAATCCAACACAAGAAAAGAAATTAGAACTGTGTCATCCGCATATAAAAGGACCGGGAGGGGCGTACCAGCCAATTTGGGGGGATGGGCATTTTCTTTCTCCATATTTCCTACTAGCGAGTTGATATAGAAGTTAAATAAAGTAGGCGCAAGGACACACCCTTGCCTGACCCCCTGATGGATTTGGATTTCCTTGGATAGGTGGCCCTGTCGGTCACACCTTACCCGAATCCGTGTATTTTCATATAGACTGTGGATGAGATACAGTAGGCGTTTGTTTATATTTGCGGCGCTTAGCTTTCCCCAGAGCCTGTCCCTCGGTATTAAATCAAAAGCAGATTTGAAATCTATAAAGGCCACGTATAGGGAACCTCCTTTTCTTGATGTATATTTCTCCGCAAGATGTTGGAGAACAAGGCCCTGGTCTAAGGTTGACCGATTTGCCCTAAAACCAGCCTGTGCTTCTGAAAGAATGTGGTCTTGTTCCAACCAGTCCACTAATTTGCCGCATAGGTGGGCAGCGTACAATTTGCTAATGATACTTAGGAGGCTAATTGGCCTGTAATTAGCCGGGTCTGATCGGCTCCCTTTCTTGAATAAAGGGATGATGATTGCTAATCCCCAATCCTCAGGGATAGTGGCCGATTGGTCTATGCTGGTAAATAGGGCAGCTAGCACAGGGGCCCACCATTCAACATTAGCCTTAAGGAGTTCCGGTGTAATGTTGTCTACGCCGGGTGCTTTTCCAGGTTTAAGGGATTGGATGAGCCTATAGATCTCTTCAGTTGCTACTGAGGGCCATTCGGCGCCAATATCACTCGGAGCTGGGGGCAGGGCCTGCAGATGTTGATTTGATGTATATAAAGATAGAAAGTAAGCCTCCCAAATCCCAACTGGTATAGTATAATCAATTTCAATCGGGGAGTCTTGCCAACTTTTCGCGACTATTTTCCAAAAGGTGGCTGAGTCTTTCCTTCGAGAGGCCTCTAATAAACGTTGCCACTCCTCCCTTTGGGCCTGAAGCTTTTTCTTTTTAATCAGATCTTTATATTTACGTTTGGCTTCGAACCATTCCGCGGGAAGCAAGGGTAAGTTCGCTGATTTGTAATTCCTGTACTTATCCAGCAAAGAACGCTTTGTAGCAATACATTCCTGATCAAACCAGGGTTTGGATTTGTTGGGGAATATAGGTTGGCGCGATGTCTTTTTTGGATCAGGTGGGGTTGCAAAAGTGAGATCAGCTCCTGGAACAAGATTATTCTAGATTCAGAACATGGTGGGTTTAAGAGATTATCTCTTCTCATGAGGAATGTGTCCGAGTATAGCCTTTCAGATGTTTCGGCATTCAGCTTTTCGGACCATCTAATACGTGAGTATCTCAACTCCATGTTGGAGGACCTGGGGGCTTCAAGTTTATCATTGCAAAATAAGTCTTTTCTTGCATCCAGGAGGAGGCAGAGCGGTAAATGATCACTATCAACCCTCTCCTCCACTTTGCACTCAAGGGCTCTATTTAGGAGATTAAATGATACCATAACATAGTCGATAGTGGAAGCTCCTGCATTTGATATAAAAGTAAATTCCCCACAGGTCTCCCCATTCTTGCGCCCATTTAGTATGACCAGGTCCAGCTTGTTAGAAAGCCGCAATAGGCACAAACCTGCATAATTACATCCCTTGTCTTTTGAGAGTCTGGTGGGTATAAGGTGGTTTTCTTCCACAATAGGTGGCGAGTCGTGGAAGTGTGCATATAGTGCTTCGTCAGACTGGCCAATTCTGGCATTAAGATCACCAGCCACTAGCACTGAAGCTGGGGGGTTTGAGTCATCAAACCATCAATGTATGTTTCCAGCCCATGCCAGGTGTTTTTAATCAGCTGCTTGCCTCTTTGGGGGGGAAGATATACATTAATCAGTAGCAGGGTGAAGAATCTACTTTTCACTAGTAAGGCCATAGCCAGGTGTTTCAGTGTCTCTAGCTTTACTAAGGACGCCCTCAACCTTGTAGATATTAAAATGCCTAGGCCACCCTTGACTCTCCCCCCTTTAGTGCTTGGGGAACCTGTGAGGGACATTGAGGAAAAGCCGTTAACTTCTAGGTCTCCTGTGAGCCATGTCTCCTGTAAAAATACTATGTCGTAGCCTTGGATAAATTTAACAAAGGATGGGTCAGCTGCCTTTTTTTGCCATCCTGCGATATTCCATGATAAAAAGCTAAGGTTGGCTTTACCAAAATCCACTCCTTGTCAATTATCTTCCAAGGTACTGTTAGAGTTTCCCATTCTACGTGGCAGCCGTCTGTCATCCTTGCATGGAGAGCTGCCCAGGAGTTCTATGGTGTCAGATGGTAAATGTAAAGTGCTCACATTGGTAGACACTGGGCCTTTGCTGTACAAGGCCTCCTCCTGGGGGTATTCTACCTGGTTGTAGCCTAATTCCGCTTCATCTAAGTATCTCATTTTGGACCAAAAGCCTGGTGAGGTTTCCTTGGGCATGTTTTTCCTTATAGGGAGCGATGCATTGTTCTCCTTTGTAAGTTGTACTTTCTTGATTGCAGGTAGATTAATCTCTGCCTTTATCTGAAGGTTACGTGGTCGACGAGCCGCTGAATCGGGTTCTTGTGAGATGATTATTTTGGAAGGGCTCTTGCTCTTACTTTGGACGTCCACCTTAGTTTCCTTATGTAAGTCTTTCCCAGCCAGCTTGTTTCTTAGCGTTTCCAATCTTTCTAGTATTTCAGCTTGTATTAAAGGTGGGAATGCCCAGAATTGGCTAATTAAGGTATTTTCTTCAAAGGAGAAGTTGTGTGTAGGGGTGCCCAGTTCGTGAGGCGACTGGTGGTTATTCTGATATTCAGCTTTATTGTTTTCCACCACCTTTGAATAGATGTCTTTCTTATTTAATTTGATGAGATGCGAGCGGGCCCCGGGCACTTCGAATAGGCGAGTCACTGTCAGGCCTACCCTGTGCAACTTTTCCTTATTAATTAATATTTGTTTTGCGGTCGAGTCATCTTTAAATGTCAGCATCACTCGATTATACTTATTGTCATTTGGGAGAAAATCTGCATTGATAACGTTCCCTTGTAATAGGAGGCCTCTGAGTACTAAGTCAATTTTTTTAAATATATACGTTCTTTGTTGGTCCAGTGAATGTAATTCTGTACGGTTGTACATAGGGCAAATAACCAATCTGCTTCTGTTGAGGATCAGCGTTTGGTTGTTCTGAGTTATCTTGTTGCGAATGGGGGTGTTAGTCACCACAGTAGCAGAGGAGGTTTGCCGATCTTTATCTATTTGTTCGTTCCGATCTTTCGTTGGTTGAGGGCTAGGGGATTGTGATGCACTTGTCACTTTGGGTTGCTGGATAATGCTCTGTTTTGGGGTCACGGGTTTAGTATTCTTTGTATTTGATTCCTTTATTGTGGGATTCTCCAGGAGCTTGAATAACTTAGAAAAATTCAATTTCTTAGTTCGTATATGGCTCTTAGTCCGCCTTCCCACTTTTATGTTTTTAGACTTCTTCTTGTGAAGTGGGAGTATTCTTTGGTGGCGATGCTTCTTTTTAGGTGAGGAGTGTGTGACTCGACTGTTGGTAAACATGGGAGTGGCTCTCTCTGGGACCTTCTCTGAGATACTGGACTCTGTTGGAATTTCAGCCGCTGGAGTGGGGGTGTGTGAGATTGCTCCCCTCCTGATGAGCTCTGTCAGGCTTACTAGCAAACCCACACATTCCGTAAGAAAGTTCCTAATTGGTCCTAATTCTTTACTTATGTGCATTTGGCATTCTTTCATCATTTCATTGAAAAGCCCAATCAGGATACAGGTATTGCTATCTGTGACCCAGCAGGCTCCTTTTAACTGACTTGGATTTTCCTCTATTCTCGTCGCACTTGAGGATTCCATCCTAGCCTTTTCGCTGGGGCTGGCTGCATTGACTGATCCATCTAGTGTGCCTTCCAGGCATTTCAAATTTCGTTCTTGATCATGTTCTACGGGAGTGTCGGTAGCACTAGATTGGGAGACTATCTGAGCCATCTCCATTGCCAGACTGATCCCCTCTCTCTCCTCATCAATATCAGGTTCCTTCCCATACCATGTTCGGTCAATAGACCAATCGTGGAGAAGTGGGGACTCGGAGCCTATGGGCGTTTTTGTTTTAGGCTTAAAATAATGCAAAATTTTCGTCTGCGAGGTTACAGATGGAGATTCAACCCTCTGCGTTGGGGAGATCCCCAGAACTTTACATTTCTGTCTGGTGAGCACCATCTCCGTAGAGTGTATGGAGCTCCGTAGAGTATATGGAGCTATGTGGGATATGTGGATGTGAAGATAGCACCACTTAGTCCCAGTTAGACAAGCTGGAATTAGCACTCCTCTTGTTAAATAACGCTCTCCCCAGAAGCTCCACGTCTAGTTAATTAATTAGAAGTGGCTGTGGTCCACTGCGTGCCAGACTTTCCGACAGTTCACAATCTAGCGGTCAGAGGTAGAGGGGGATAGATAAAATAGGTTTTTACAGCGGCATTACTTACAACGACCGTGGCAGATGAAACGTTGAGGGGAGGAGGGCGATGTAATCCAATCTGGCTTGAACCGCCATCTTACTTGCCGAAGAGACTATGTAGTGATACTCCCCGACGGCGTTGAAAGCCCTCCGGTGATGTTAACATTAATTTACTGCCCCCGCTGTACCCCACCGACTGCGTGGAATTCCGAAGTGTAAGTAGAGCTCAGTACTCTCTCTTCCTCTCTCTTCCTCTCCCTCTATTATAGTTGTGCTTGGAGAGGTGTTTCGTTGCCCCTCTCTTCAGCGAGGCATTTAGAGAACCAGCAGTTTATCAATGTCGCCAGTAAAACCGTAAAACAATAAAACGATAGCTAAGATAAACAGGAGCAGTGGTGAGGTGATAAGTCAGCCAATAAATCATTAAAACTATAAAATTAGAGTCCAGGAAGGCTAAAAAACTACTTAAAATCTTAATTGAAGGCAGGCGAACCTGACTATGCTGCTATCTCCGTCGCCATCTTGAAGTTAGTCCCATTGGGCAGATGGAAGCCCTTGCACTAACCATTATACGGCAATTTCATTGTATAGCTATCATATTCTCAATGGGCAAAATTGAGGCTTCTGATTTTGTGTGTGTGTGAGGGAGGCGATATTTATTTTCATTTGATTTTCGGAAAAAAATAAAAATAAACTGAGGTATTGTGCAAGGGAGATGTTTATCTGACTTGTATAAGGTTTGTGCAAGAGTGATGTAAAAAGGTAAAAGTAAAGGACCCATGGATGGTTAAGTCCAGTCAAAGGTGACTATGGGGTTGTGGTGCTCATCTCACTTTCAGGCTGAGAGAGCCAGCGTTTGTCCACAGACAGCTTTCCAGGTCATGTGACCAGCATGACTAAACTGCTTCTGGTGCAACCGTGACGGAAACCAGAGCACATGGAAACGCCGTTGTAATGGTTCTAGGGGTTGCTCGTGCGTAAATCGGCGCCCCACCTGGCTGGGTTGCCTGAGTGAACCTTTTCTGTCCGGACAGCCACTCGCCCATGACTGTCTCAATCGCTGGCAGAATCCATCAGTGGGCGTTTCTTGAACTTCTTCCAGCACAAAAGTTCTTTGACGCCTAGTCTCCACCTAGTCTCCCTGCACGGAAGCCTTCTGCGCAGGGAGGGTGTGGGCAGCGGAGGACCCGTGCTCTCCCCGCTGGTCCCCGGCGAAGAGTCATGGAGCCAGTTCGCCGATTCCCCCATCTGCCCCCCTTCTCCACTGGTGCTATGCTGATTTCCTTCCCCAGAAGATGTGCTGCTTCTCTCCCTCCCGGGACGCTCTCCGGAATCCCTCTGCAGCCCTCCCTCTCCCCCTGGCTCTGATGGCAGTTCCCTGACATCCACCTCCTCCCCAGGACCCCCTCCACCCCCGGCGCGATTTTCCGATATAACCTCGTCTCTTTTCTCGGCCGACGATGCGGGGAATCCCCTGAAGGAGCTGTCACCATCCTCTGAGGATTCAAAACCAGCCTCCTACCCGCTCAGATCTCTCCCCTCAGGGTGGACCCCCCAGTCTGATTCTTCTCCCTCTGACAACTCTCCTCCCTCCTCTTCGGAGACAGGAAAACCCACAAAGTCCCCTTCGTCGTCTGTGGTTCCAAATTCTTCCTCCCAGAATCTCGCTAGTGGTTTTGGCTTATCCGGGAACAAACTGTGGAATTCTTCCACCAGATACCCCTCATTGATTAACTCAGCAGGGACCCACGTGTTTTCTGACCTGGGTTCTCCTTCCCAAGCTACCAGGTACTCCACCTGGCGACCTCGCCACTTTGAATCGAGTATTTCCGTGGCTTGGTTGCGGTGTTCCCTCTCCTCTACCTGCGGGTGGGTGGTGACTCCTCCCTCCCGCCCCGGAAATTCCCACCCCTCCCTGTATGGTGAAAGTAGGGACCTATGGAACACCGGATGTATCTTCATGCTGTCCGGCAACTTGAGTTTGAATGCTACTGGGTTCACCTGCTGTGTTACCTCAAAGGGCCCCAGCAGCCTCGGCTGCAACTTCTTGCACCCTCCCTTTAGGGGTAACCCTTGGGTTGACAACCACACCCGGTCTCCCACCCTTATGGCCTCCCCCTCCGGACGGTGCTTGTCCGCCTGCCTCTTGTAAACTTCCTTTGCCCCCTCCAAGTTCATCTTGTGTTGCTGGTGCAAAGCCTCCATTTCTTCTACAAATTGCTTGGCCGCGGGTACACTCCATGCTTCCTCCTCCCTCCCCGGGAAGGCTCTGGGGTGACACCCATAATTGGCCATAAACGGGCTCATTCCCGTGGACACATGTTCAGCGTTATTGTACGCAAATTCAGCCAAGCCTAGTTTCTCTACCCAATCGTTCTGTCTCTCGCTGACGTAGCAGCATAGGTATTGCTGGAGTATACTGTTCGCTCTTTCTGCTTGTCCGTTGGTTTCTGGGTGTCTCACCGTCGAGAAGCTCACCTCGACCTGTAGCAAGCTCATGAGCTTCCTCCAGAACCTGGAAGTAAATTGTTTCCCGCGATCCGAGATTACACTCGAGGGCGCCCCATGCAGTCTGAAAATGTGATCCACAAACAACCTGGCTGTCTCCTCCGCCATCACCGCGTGTGAGCAAGCTATGAAATGGCACATTTTTGTCAGTAGATTGACTACTACCATGACTGCTGTCTTCCACCTTGACTTGGGCAAATCTGTCATAAAATCAATGGACACCACCTCCCAGGGCCTTCCTGGTGTGGGTAAGGGTTCCAATAGCCCTGCAGGGGCAGCCCTCTCTCCCTTTGCCCTCTGGCATCGGTCGCACCCCCGTACATATTCCCGTACGTCTTCCCTCACCTTTGGCCACCAGAACTGCCTGGTGATGAGCAGCATGGTCTTGTGCTGTCCAAAGTGCCCAACTGTTGGGACTTCCGGGTTGGCGCCTCTGGCAATGGCGGATTTCCTCCGATCGGGAGGAACCCGCTCCGCGAAAAACAGGGTCTGAACTGCCACGGCGAGGCGGAGACCCATTAAAAACCACAGGCGGGAGAAGCCTGTGGACGTGGGATTCGGCTGGCACCTTTGCGCCACCCCTACTCGCGGGGAAACCCTGTTTTGGGGATCCGGAGCGACGTGGGGTGAGTGGCGCGGTGCTTTGAATCGACTGCTTTTTTCACGGAGT